AATCACAGTCCTGTCTAGACTGTCAGAGACCAAGATGAAAGTCTGAGCGTGCTCTCTTGAAAAGTGAAGTACTTTGAAAAGCAGCAGGTGGAAACATCAATAGGTGGTAGCAGCTCAACGGACAGGACTTACAACAAAAGATTTCATGAGGTCTCGCTGCCTCATCACAGAGGAGAAAGTCTCTTTCCGTTGTTTATCAGAAAGCTGCTGATCATAAACCGTTGCTTTGTGTCAGGGCAAGTTTACCTCTGCTGATCAAGGTGTGATTAAGAAAATAAATGACACACACAAAAAGAGAGTTTGACCAAAGATGCAAGTTTTATTTTAAAATTGTATTTTTCTGTTGCACATTTTTAGTATTTTTTATGCCTTATTTTTCCTTCGCACTGTCTTTATATAAAGCACTGCTGCTGTGTTGTTATCTTTTCCATTATATTCGCTGGAGGACCTAATCCTCTCATTTACCCTTGCTTCATAATGTTTGTTATTCCACCAAGCAGTAGAAGTATGTCAAAAAGCTCCTCGCACAACGTTGTGTTAGCAGCTACCTGAACAACAGTGGGTTTTCTGTTTGTCTTTTGGCTCAGAGGACGTAATCAAGCCTCGAGCAGGAAATGTATTGTCTGACTCAGGAGTGCAAATTAAACACAAGCATAGCTTGTGTGTAGGGGTGTGCAGGGCCAACACCATCCTGCCAGAGAAAAGAAAACAAAAAGAAGCAGGCTGAACTTTTCACACTTGGACACACAATCTGGTTTAGTGTTTACCCCCTTTATATTTGAAAAGCAGCTTGACAACTTGTCATCTCCTGTTGGACACCTATAATAACCCTGGCAGCAGGGTGCTGGGCTCTGCCAGCTCGTTGTTTTAGACCAAATCACAGAATCCACACTAAATCAGACACCAAATGTGGTGGGAAAAAAAAAAAAAGAAAAACATCTGCCAAGTCAAAATAAAATCTTTGGCAGATGCACTGAGCAAACCAGTCAGTTCATTTATGCTTTTGACAGAAGATGTTAAATGAAAACTTAGTTACATTCAAATCAGAGACGCGCCAAATCTTCTGGAAACATTTCATTGTATATTAGGGATGTGCTGGTCGATTCCAGCCCATGTATCCCAGGACAGGCTCTTCCAAACTATTCTACATAATTTTAACCTTTACCTGCATGATGGAAACCTACCTCCTAGAACACAGGACGTTTGGATCATAGTTCCAAAAGTAAAACTTGTTCTGTTCTTGCCTGAAGTCTTTCCTGACCTTGTTCTTTCGCTCTAATGTGAAAATCACAGGCCTGATTGTAATTTACAGCACAAGGGTTTCACCTTGTTTCCAGCAATTTTCTGTTGTCACAACTCACTCTGAAATGTGCTTCCTTGGGAACAAACCTCCCTGAAGACAGAGCCTGATTACAACAAGCAGACAACAATAACAAGGCAAACTTGGTTAAAAAAAGGAAGAAAAAGAGAAAAATCTCTGAAGGCTACAGAGTAATTACTACTTATTTGTTTCCTTCTCAGTAGGATTGCAGATTGCAAAATATCAGAATGATAATATAGTTATTTAAAGATTTGTCTGAAAGGCACAAAACCTACTAAAGTTCATTGCTCTGTCTGAACACTTTGATTTTATTGGTTTCTCCTTCTCTGTAGAATATTGTGACTTTTCCTGCCTGCCGGTCAGAGTCACAGCTGCTCTTCTGAAGGGCATCTGACATTTACTCTTGCTGAAAGCTACCAGACATTTTGCACATCATTGTTCAAGTTTCTTTGTAGCTCTTATCAGTTTATCAGAGTACTAAGTAAGCCTTATAGCGGCACTCGTTCTCAGACTTTCCCTCTTTGTGAAAGGATAAAAACAGTGTTGTTGAAAGCTGTTCTGTCTCCATGCTGCAAAATCATTGTGTTGTAAACATTTGTCTGGGAATAAGAATAATAGTTTGAATGTTGCAAAGCATTCAGACCACTTAGATGACTGATATGACTATAACAGTATACGTTTAAGCTCATTCAAATGGGAAAACATTAAACTATTCAAAGATATGTTAATAACTCCAGCTATTTAAAACTTTTATGCTTCATTATGTTTCCCAAAGGAATTCTTGTGGCAGTTTTTCAATTACAGATCATTATGTGCTTACTACATCCACTTAGTTTTTGCTTGAAACACCAAGAAATTGGAGTATTTCCAAGTCCTTGTTTCCTTTAAATATCGTTTAATCTTTTATAATAAATGAAGACATTCATTTGTATCCATCACAAGGGAAAACTAACCACTAATCATGCTTTTATATCATAGTAGCTTGTTCCTACTGTTATCTCATCACCTTATTTTGTTTGCTAACATGCTAGAGTTAGAATTTTGGCAAGGGCTACATTTATTTTTTCTTTGACAAGTATTTAGATGCATTTAGTGGCTCGTTCTAAAAAAGGATCATCAAAAATATCTAATCCATGTATCCAATGAATCTTTTTTAAGACTTATGAAACCAGATGTCCTATGACTCATGTAAGTAGCAAAATTGCGACTGGCTAATCAAAGTGGGATGTAAATGTGAAGTTTTCTTTGTCTAAATTAACTCAATGAATTGAAATAAACCAATGTTTCTCTTTTTTATCTGCTCTAGTTGTTCATGTAGATTGTAGATTAAAGAAATGTAGTAAAATTACCACATGTTTAATGTTTTAAAGTTTTATTGTGATGTGATGTTAAATTAATTATATCCCCACACAGGATGATTTAGTCTTTTTTGTACTGATGGAGGAACATGGATAACAGAATAACATAAAGAAAAAACTTTTTGCAATAATCAAAATGAGACAATGTGACTGGCAGAGGATATGAAAGGGGTGTTTGCATGCTTCTTTTCTTCAGGCTTGTTAAAGTGGCAGATCAATGATGCTTTAAATCAATGCTCCAGCACCACTGCAACCCCCATAAAACCCATTAGTGACTTAAGATAGACCACTGCTCTCCCTTCAGGTCCTCCATTTGATGAATGTTAGACAGAAAAAAAATGCTGAAATAAAACAAACAGAAAATGGCCAACAAGAAGATGTGATAAACGGTGACAGTTAAAAGCAATAGCAAAGGCAGGAGGTGAGAATTATTGCTTTTTAATTCAGACGCTAAAGCAACTTTTACAAGGCACCTGGGTTTTCTGCCACCATAATTCACCCTCGTCCATTTGCCTCACAAAACACACAACCAGGTTAGGAATTATCTCCCAAAAAATCATCCAGATGGGGAGGAATTACATTGACATTTACCCTAAACCCTAACGGAGGTTTGTCAGAGAGAGAAATGCATATTTCAAATAGGAACAATGTTTCAGTCATTCTGTTATAAACTCTCTTACTGCTCATGTTTTTTGTTAACTTTTATTAGATTGTAACTCATAAACTTAAAGTTTTTTAACGTTTTTTTTTTTTTTTTATCAAAGTCTTCATCTTTTGTGGAGACAGGGAGGAGTAAATCATCCAATCAAAGTGAGGTTCATGTTAAAGGCAGAACATAATATTAAACCCCTACAAGCGCTTGAAAGAAAAGAGCCAAACTGCTGCTGTTGTGCAGTATCATCTGAAATAGTTTTTTTGAAACTAAAATACAAAGATCTTGTGTGCAATAGCTCTCTCTCCTTTACTTTTTAGGATGAATTCATTCACTTCATGCATTTTTACTTCATTTATAAAGGGAATATTCATGTTTGGTGAGGTTTCTAAATAACAGTTATGTGAATAGTTGTGTTAAATATAAAACTCACCTTGGTTGGAATAGCCGATTAAATTGAAATAGGAGAAGCGAGAAAGGCAATCCACTCAACATCAGCTGATGTTGAGTGAATTAAAATGAATTAAAATTTATTTTAATAAATAAATTCATGTTTATTTAAAAAAATAACTGGCAGTCAAAACACACATGACAATCAGTCCAGGAGAGATTGCGGTTCATGATCTGGAAAAACACCTTAAAGGATCTGTGTGGTTTAATATCTCACATCTACAGGGTAGATTATTGTTATCGCTTCAATGTTGAGCAAAGCTTACACTAAGCGTAACAACCTGTGTCAGTCATTAAACTGGAAAGACAACAGAGTGGGAAGACATAAAATTGATGTATTAGAAAAGAGTAAAAGGGATTGTGGAGGGGGCATAGCAGTCTGTTTCTGATAGCATTGTTTATGTGGTAGTGTCTGTGGATCATTGATCCATTTGTCTTCATTGCGTCTCCATGTGTGAACTATTAGCTGCTGCAGTCCTTTTGCTGAATCTTCTGTGTGGATAAAAAATGCATCTTCACCCTCACAGTCCAAAAATGTCCCTGCCGGATACTGACAGTAGCTGGAGGATGTGCTTACCAGAGCTACGAAGCAATAGCTGTTGTCACAGGCGTGGTTGTCGGTGCTGTGAGAACAAGCAGCCATAGTTAACATGTACTATGTCACTGACCTGTCAGCACTACAGATAAGCTGCTTGAATCCAGAATATTTGACAAAGCTTTAGCCTGCATGTATAGTTTCTGACCCATATAATGTATGCTGTGCAGGAATGAGTCAAGCATCCACCCACTCACTCTCTAAAGAAAGGGTTATCTTTTGCAACAGAATTCACCCTATGTGAATTATGAGAAAAATGAGCATTGGGGTTTGTTGAAATATGAACTGGTTGGGACTTTTTCATCAATGCACAACAAAATGCACTGAGGCCTGCATATTAGTTACATCTTGCTCCAGAACCTCTGTAAATTATTACCACTATAACAACTGCTATGTGTGCTGAGTCCTGTAAGAGATCATGGGACATACGCAATAACTTCAGCTGCATGACTTCAAAAGAGCCCCAGCATCACAATCACACTCCATGGGTCAACTTGTAAATCATGACATGTTTGACTTACACTTGTAACTGTTATTTTTTAAAATAAACATGAAGCACTGCTGGATCATTTTCCTTCCCTTGCTAACTTCCTTTCTGTGTATCTTCTCTGTTTTGTTTTGCAGCTACAACCTCAGATCTGGTTATCATCTCTAACGCTGTCTCATCTGAGCCAGAGTGAAAGGAAACATAGACCATGGTCAGGTTTGGCGGCTGCTGTTGCTATGCATGAAGGACCGCTGTGGTGTCAATGGAGACTGAAGGCTATCGTGACCTCCTGGAGACCAGCGATGGTCAGGGGGTAGGCCTGCTGGATGGAGGGGGAGAGGTGGGTGTGGAGGAAGGCTGGAACACACCCTATCCTGTCGGTTTCCAGGTGTCGTTGACCACTGTCCTCGTACTGGAACTCGTGTTGGGCTTCAGCAGCAACTTGACAGTACTTGTTCTCTACTGTGCTCAGTCCAACCTGGTAGATTCAGTCAGCAACCTCGTGACGGTCAACCTCCATGTGCTCGACATTCTGGTCTGTGTGCTCTGCTTGCCGCTGACGGTTGCTGTGATCCTGGTACCGGCAAATGAAAGTGGAGTAAGCAGCCTGGCCACACTTTGCTGCTTCCATGAAGCTTGTGTCACATTTACAAGTGTTGCTACAGCAGTCAATGTATTGGTGATCAGTTTGGACAGATATGACATCTCAGTGCGTCCAGCCAGTCGTCTCCTGACGCCTAGACGTGCCGCATTACTCCTGGCAGCAGTGTGGGCCGTCTCTCTGGCTGTTTTCTTCCTACCCTTTCTTGAAGGGGACTTCTTCTCTTTATCGGCTGAGGGTACTGAGGATGAGGAGCTCGAAAGGCAGAGCAATGACTCAGAACTCAACACTGGGCATACTCCCATTTTTTCTTCCGTCCCTCCTTCTTTATTACCCTACACTCCACCCTCCACTCCTTCGCACCACCTGCCACCAGTATGGCAAAATAGGACACTGCTATGTGTTGGAGGGCAGGGGTATTACACAGGTATGGCAATGTATTATCACTTGTTACTCCAAGTACCCTGCTTCTTCATAGCTGTGGCAGTGATGCTTTTCACCTACTCCAGGATTCTCCAGGCCCTCAACATCCGTATCGGCTCCCACATGATGAGGAACACACGGTCAAAGGACTCCACCTGCAGGATACGCTGCAGGAGGCAGAGGAAGAAGGAACTAAGCCTTCCAACAGAAACAGTGTCCTCTAACCAAAATCAAAACCTCAGTCACCCTCCACTCATCCCCTCTGCTACCCCTACTCCAACATCACCTCCACCATTGTCTTCCATGCCTCCAGGGATGTCAGATAGTGGGGCCACAATAACTACTGTGAGCACTGCTGCAACCACCCCTATTGCGACCACCCCAGCGACCCCTGCTTCTCCAACTCCCCCTTCGGCGTCAGCTCGAACCCATGCCTCCACACCTCTGCCTGCCTCATCCATGGGTGTACAGGCCTCAGTTTCAGCTATCATCGCTTTGAGAAGGGCAGTACGCAGGCACAGGGACAGACGAGAACGTCAGCGTCGCGTCCTGAAGATGTCCCTGATCATCATATCTACTTTCATGGGTTGTTGGGCCCCTCTGTCTGCAGTCAATGTTCTGATCCTTTGCATGGGCCCCAGTGACGGCCTGGTTGAGCTGCGCCTGTGCTTTTTGGCCATGGCTTATGGAACGACCATATTTCACCCTCTGCTTTATGCTTTCACCAGGCAGAAACTGCGGCGTGCCCTCAAAACACGTGTAAAGAAAAGGGTAGTATCGCTCCTGCAAGTAGACCCAGCTCCCAGCGGGGGGACTGTGATTCATAACTCTTGGGTCGAAGGAGGAGGCCAGAGAAAGGGTCGCAAGTCACGGGTGGAGGCTAGTGATGGCACTGATAGATGCCTCACTGAGGCAGTCAGAGAATGAGGCGGCTCGTCAAAGAGCAGTTGCATGTCTGAGAGTGGTGTTTGAGTTTAAACATCTATATGGACCTTACTAAGCTGATAGAGATGGATTGCTTGTACATTTATGAGTGGGTGTGAGGACAAATGAACAGCATATAGTTTACAAGGATCAGAACAAATACTTTGTCCTCCAGTGTTCGGCAAATGTGGAAAGAGGAGAGCCTCAAGCTTTTATGAGAGCCATCTTTTTGCTCTCCTTACATAAGCCCTTACAAGTCCACCACTGCCAGTAGGCAAACATTATAACAAACCTTGAGATGACTACTCCGATTGCTAGTGTGATCCCTTCATGTAACATAAGGGTTAAATATCTGCAAAGACATACAAATCAGTATTGCTCCTCCGTGCACTTTTACCTGCATGTGCATGTACATATGCACAGTTTAACACACATCACACACACATGCTCTTAACGCACATAATATAGTCACTATATGTGAAAGCACACAAGTATCTACCTGCACACATGTTCTCAGTGACATTAATACTTCTGAAAGACCTTTATCTTTGTTTTCATTATTTTCATGCCTTAATTGAGTTATTTGTATATTGTCATGGTGCTGAATGTCCAGCTGTGTGTTTACAACAATGTTATCAACACAGAATGAAAGTATTTACATTGATTGCAGAAAGAATAACAAAGTACTGCACCAATCAGGGATAACATTATGACCAAGTGAAGTTAATTACTCTGATTATCTCCTCATTGCGGTACCTACTAATTCTGGAAGACATTTACATCGTCTGTATGAAAAGACAAATATCCATTCTTCCTCACTGTCTGACATTAAATCAGACAAAACTTTTTTTTCTGTTTTTTTTACTGTTTTTTTGAATCCATAAGATTGTAGGGAATGACTTTGTCCATTTCAAGACCCATTTGCAACCAAGATTTAAATTGCTGGTCTTAAAGGAAGGTTATTGTAAACTTTCCAGTCATATGGAGAAGGAAAAAAAAGGAAAGCATAAGGTCTCGAGTGAATTTAATAACGACTAAATTTCAATTGCTAAATGAATGGGTCAGTATTTCTTATAAGCCTTGTTGATTGCTATATGTATCCAAAGTGGCTGATGAAGCATTACAAATTGCTGCTTTGCCAGAGATTTGACTCCAGACTTTGACATCTTTGCTGCCTGTCTTCTCCCTCTGTTCATTTTCTGCCTGATTACTGTCAATAAACACAATCTGCAGAAGAAAATGATGAAGAGAACATTCAAAAGAGTTATGGGTCGCTATGGCTGTGTGATTCAAATTGATGTTAATGTTCAAATTAATGTTCATTCTGATTCAAAAGCTGTACATACCTATCAGGGTACTCATCCTGGTCATAATGTTATGTCTGCGTGTAAATGATTAAAAGCATCGAAACATAAAGTTTACATACTCTGATAAAATTACCAGGAAAAAGCAAAAACAAAAGAAAGAAATGAAGAAAAAACAATCAGATTCTAGTCTAATTGTAGGTTAGTGGCACTTTTTAGAAAAATGTGTACAAAATTTAGTTGAAAGGCATGTTTTTATTTTTATTTTTCAGATGCATTTTAATGGTTATGACGAAGGAGTCTTGTGTGATTTTGTCAGTATGTTTGCACATTTGTAAACACTGGGTAAATGAAGACATATCTGTGTTTTAGCCAATGAATATGTGCAATAAAACACAAGTAAAGCAATGACCCCCACCTAGGGTGTAAACAAAGAGAATGCTTTGTTTTCTTTTTTTTCTATGTGTTATAAAGTTGTTGGAAAAGTACAAAAGGGAGGGGACTCTTTTGTCTTCTTTTTACAAAGAAGAGGTTGCTGAATATTAAACGTATAAATAAATATGTGGCGCATTTTTGTATTTATATGTATATGAAAATTCAATGTAATACCATTGTAACAGCATCACAACAGTTTCAAAGAGGGATTTAAAGGGCAATACTTTGTGAAATATTTCATTAGAACTGTCTGTGAAGCCAGTGCAGATTAACAGCATAAACTCGAGGAACCAAACCAATGACCTCTAACATAGGACTCTCCTCATGTTATCTCTTAGTTGCTCTGGACGGCAGCTTTGAGGGAGCATTTTAAATGATGACAAACAAAAACATCCTCTGGACTAAGACCTGAACACATCACACAATATAGTATCTCTTTCTCCTCAGGGCTTTGTGTATCATTTTCAAACTTGCTTGAAAAAAAAAAAACCCAAAATAAGATAATAATAACAGCAAGCAGCCCTCAGTCAGCTGTTGTGATAAGAGTGTTAGAGTAGGTTGCGGTAGATAGAGCTCATTTGAAACTTTGTATGAACTGAAGACTTGGAGGGCTCCTATGGCTTTGGGCTTTATTCTCCTTCCACCTCACCCTTTTTACACTGCTTGTGAGCCAAACAGGAAGACAATAACTCTTGTGTATTCATGTACATTTTTCAGGGATGTAAATACTTAAGTGTTTGTTTTGTGTTTTAGTCAGAAATCCCTTTTCCTTTGATCACGATCATCTGCCGGACAGAAAATCAGTCATTGTGAAAAACTCTTAAAGAGCAGGAGAGCTACAAAGAAGAAATATGTCAGTGTAGTTGTGTTAATAATGTATGTGTGTACACTGTAATTTACATTTATGACCATGTGTATAGAGAAATATTAGTATTGTAAAAGATTTATAATATGTGCTATTGTATAGAAAATAACTAAATCTGTATTAAAAAGGTCTATCTCAGTTTACTGTGTCTGTTGGTGTATGTTCAATGACAATATCAGAGCTGCAGCTCACTATAGGGTGCCATTTGTAAAGTTGGAGAGTAAAAATTTTTGACAGCCATATATATATATATATATATATATATATATATATATATATAATGTTATGTTATTTTATTTATTGATTGATTTATTTTTGTAAAGAAATGCAATAATACAACAATGGAAAATAAAAGTCCTGCTTGCAGATGAACTTGCAAATATCACAGGAAACAATGTAGTGTTCCTGCCAGGCCTGTATGAGGCAGTGAAGCCTGGAGATAACACATCCTCAGTGTGCACCATGTGCTTATTAGACAGTGAACATGTGATTAGAAGCCTGTAATCCATGCATCTTCCCTGATGGCATTAATGTTCCACAATGAGCATATTTGGTTTTAACACTTAGCATCAACACAATAAAACATGGAGGTTGACCATTGTTGTTGTTGTTGCATAAAGTTCATCTTGTTTCTAAAAGTTTCACTTTTATAAAACTTGTGCATTTGAAACACAAATATTTTTTGTCATAAAGATCAGCATGTTGATGATTTCCCCACACCTCAGTCGTAATAGTTATTTAAATTGGTGTTGCCTTTTTTTGTCTTAAATTCTCACCCAACATCTGACAAGAACAGACAATCCCTCTGCATGCTGACCTACAACCACTCCAACAAATAGTCACTTTCATGGCCACCCACTTAAAAACATCCAGAATCTTGTCATGAATACTGTTTCTATGAACAACTGTGAAAGAATAAGTTGCTCTTTGGAGTTCAGTGAATTACAAAGGAACACCGTGGTGGATGCCAGCTGTGCAATAAGTCCAGGCTTGAAATTCCCTCACTATTAAATATTTCACGGTAAATTCTTAGAAGTATTACAACACAGAGCACAGTCAGTGGATGCAGAGGCATTTAGTGGTAAAGGAGCTTTAACTTTCTGCAGACTCAAAGGTTACAAATCTCCAAACCTCATGTGACCCTCAGTTCAGCTCAGTGACATCACCAAGCAAAGCGTTAGATACAAAGAGTCAGATGCAGTGATGTAAAACACAAAACTAAATGATCACTGTAGTGACAAGTCATAATCCATCTGATTATCCAATATGCCACTCTGGGTTTACAGTAACAGTTGTTTGACATTCTGTGACAACATCATGCTCCCAACTTGTGGGAACAGTTTGGGGATTATCCAACCACTACGCAAAGCAAAGTTCATGAAAACAAAGAATTGGAAGTTTAGTTATAAAGAAAGTGACTGGCCTTTCTTAATAAGTTGACCTCAACTTAATAAAGAACCTGTGGGGTTAGAGCAAGTCCGTCCCGTTCCAACATCAGTGTCCGATTGTTCAAATACTTAAAAATTAGGTATGAAACAACAAAAACTACAAATTGACAAACAGGCAAAATGATTTGCAATGATGATACCTGTCCCTTCTGAAACACGACATGTGATGGAGTCTCAGATTTTGGCCTCAAGATTTGCTGTTATGATTTTATTTGAGGTTCTTAAATTACTTAATCTTCAGTCAACAGATTATATATATATAAATTATTTATTTATTATTATTATTATCATTATTATTATTATTATTATTATTATTATTATTCTTTAATATATATATCTACTGCTAATTCTTTATTAGCAGCAGATATATAGCTTTAGTATTGTCATGGTCATTTAGTTGTTCCTGTAAAATGTGCAAAAATAAGCAGATGTTCTCAAACATAAATAAGAAAATGTAAAAAATTTCTAACCTTAAAAACTTGCATGCAAGGCTTAGAAAGATAATTTAAGAAAACACATTTATAAAGGTCAGCTTTTGTTTGTGTATAAAAACATTAAGAGTTGACTGTATAATCCATAAATGAATGACTGAAGCGCGATAATCATGTCACTCTCATTATGGTTAAGAGTTTTTGACAAAACAGCAGCTGAAATGTGCAACTGGGGTTAATTATAATTACATTTTGAACTGAAGCTTATTCTCTAGAGCATATGGTTTAAATCCTCTCCTTTTTCAGCCAACACTTGCTTTTTTAAAACATTTTCTATCTTTAACCCCATTTCTTCAGATCTCTAAATTTAGAAACTCCGTCCCAGATACGTGTGATATTTTAGTGATGACGGCAGAGAACCTTCACTATGTCTCACTTTTGTGTGACAACGGTACTAATCACCACTGCTAATGAAGATGAAACATGTTTGTAAGGTAAGCATCTGTGGAGGCAGCTTATGATCCTGACAAATCTGGTGATGCATGTGTGCGTGAAATTGATTGATCTCCGTCTTACTGATTTCTGCATCTGGTCAAAATTGTCGATCCTTCCAACTGATTTGTGCATCTGGTCAAAAGTGTCGATCCTTCCAACCTGCTTGATAATCTCAAGCAGGTTGCAAGATAATCTCATCTTTCATTCTCTGATTCTCTTCCATTGGCCCTCCCTCTCATTATGCTGCCGGTCTGCATCTCTCTCATCTCTTATCCGCACTCGGGCCTTCCAGAACAAAAAGTGAGGAACAGCTGCAGTGTCTGTGAAGGAAGGAAAGTCACCTTGGAGGGGAGGAGGGGGATGACAAGAGGAACAAAAATGTGAGCGAGAGAATGAGGCAATATGGAGGGGAGATTACCAGGGAAAAGAGAGAAGAGAAGAGAGGCACAGAAGCTGGCACAGAGACATCATATGACTAATAAAGGGACAGCACTGCATCACTGCAGAACGTAGGCAGAAAAAATAAAAAAGACAAACGCCAAGCCCAGAATGCTAATATTATCAAGCTTCAGTGTTTTCCAGCAAACACATTGTTGATTTTCTTTTGTAAAAACATCTGCATATTTGGGTGTCTTTCAAGAATATCCTGTGGAAATCAGAGGTACACAGAGTCTAAAGGCTGCTGCCACTTTCAGTCATTGCCTGAGCTATCGGTAGTGAAAACAAAGATCTAACCAGAAGGTTTCAGAACAGGAATAACTACTCAGTTTTATCATTTCAAATGATAATTGTCATAGATTTTTTCTTTAATCTCTTAAAGGACAGATTTTACTTATTCCTTTTTCAGTGTTGACATGAAATGCTGTCAATACAAAAATTGACTGCTTACTGTATATGGGACTATGACTTGTAATGTGGTACCATCTATTGACAGGGTTTGCAAGTAAAAAAACGTGACTATTGTTCCCACAAAGTACTTTAAAATAACACTTTTACTTTGATTTTCTCGATAGCGATGTGGCGCCATCTTGTGTCCAAAGCCCTTCAAGCAAAATTCAGTCAAAACTCTTTTGTATTCACCTTTGACTTATTCGCCACAACATTTAGTATTGTGAATCAGGTAACTCATATTCATATTTTGTCATCAATAAACAAAACATGTCACTGCTTGCTGGGGTCACAGTATGATCAGCCTGGCCCTGCCCCCTACTGAACGTGTGGCCGAAATAGCTCAGTTGGGAGAGCGTTAGACTGAAGATCTAAAGGTCCCTGGTTCGATCCCGGGTTTCGGCAGTGCAATGGGGCAAAAAATATTTTTAAGTTGCTGATTCATTGAACGTGTCCTATGTTACAGATAAGAAACAACTTAATCTCAACTCATAACTGGCATGTTGTTAATTTTCTTTCTTTTTTTACAGTTGTTTAACTTCATCCTGTCTATATTAGATGCCAATTTATTGAAGTTGCAGAGGTTTGTAGATAATTAGTACCTGCAAATTTACACTTAGATCACTTGGTGAACTTGAGCATATAGCTGAGCTGCATTATCATAATGTTCTCATTTAAATAGACATTTATTTCTCCAAAATGTCCCGAGCTCCTTGCTTTAGCATCAAAAGCTATTGACAGCAATACAGGATTTTATGTATTGAATTTTGTCTACATCCTCAAACTTCAATGTAACCTCACATGTTCAAAAGGTCATGGAATATTTACAGTACTGCAAGAAAATAACGTTTTTTCCTCTTGTACTGATGTTTTACTCGTAAAATTCCTTATGACCCAGAGAATATTGTCAATATTTACAACTTTTTATGAATAAATATTTAATAATAGTCATTCATTTACAACATTAAGCAGTATATTTTTGCACTGTCTAGGTAAATTTAAATACACTAAAATAAATTTTTGTAAAAAGCAAATGTAACTATTTTTTCTAATCTGTAAATAATGCTAAAATCTAAGAGTTTATGAATAAAACACTGAGGTAAAGTGCCATGATTATCTTAAATGTTATTATAATATTCCTGGTGAATATATGCCAGAAAAAAAATAAAACAAAATAAACAATAAGTTAAAAAAAAACTTGTGTCCAGGCTCTCTCTTTATTTCTCTCTTTTTCTAATTTGTTTCTGTACCAGTGGTTTGTAAATAATTCCTATGGGGAAATGTTGGCTCTAGCGCAATAAAATGAAACTATTTTGCAGAACGTCCACCAGGGGGAAGTGTAGTTCAATAAATCAGTCAACAACAGCATTTTTGTTAAAAGGAACAAGAAATTAATGGAGCTCCTATGAAATATTTGAGGAGACATTTCAGCTTTTAATATGGAGGAATTTGGCATAGTAAAAGCTAACAGCACCACACTTATACTCGTGTTATTTTTTACATAAAACACAATTTGCTCTTGTTGTGGTTTTAAGCAATAACACAATACAGACTGCTTCAGGTAACTTGATTAAATGGAATACATTAATATTTTACAACCATCAAGCTTCTAAATATGAAAACTAAATTAATCATAGTCAGTCTGAATATTGTATTCCTCTTTTCACAAAATTATAATTTGTAGATATTTGTCTCTTGAAAGCAGAATATGGCTACCGTCTGGAGCAGATTGTGAAACAGAATGTGTCCTTGAATTTTTAAAATTACTTTTTTATTGGAAATATTCTGAATGGATGTGTGTCAACTTGATGCAAACTCAGAAAAAGTAAAGATAATCTTTCAGATCTCTGTGGAAATAAACATTTACTTCTTAAAGA